ACACACACAAACACACACACACACACACACACAAACACACACACACACACACACACACACACACACTAGTTTGTTGTTGAGTCTTCTGAGAAAGCTACGTCCTTACACCCTGGAGGTGTATCTCGTCCTTTGTGGGTACATGAAACTGGCAACCGAAGGAAAGGTATGAAGAAGTAGGACCCACCCGCGGCAGATTCCAGCCACCCACACAGACACACACAAATAACACAGGGAGAGATATACGAAGTTAGACATACAAATGGCACCCTCCACCCAACCACCCACTTACACACACACACACACACACACAACACACACACATAATACACACACACAACACACACACACACACACACACACACACACACACACACACACACACACACTCACGCACACAGAAACAATAGAGGGAACGATACGAAGTAGGACCTACCAGCAAACAATAATTGCGGAAATACGGTGATGTCTGTAATAAATAAAGAACTAGTAACATCTCAAGGGTACACAAACACAAGCCCCTGTCCTCGGGCAAATCCGCAAATGTCATATTCCGGCGTGCCATAGATTTACAAAGTAAACACCATAATTATATACACTATGTTGGATGTGCGTTGTAGATATCTACCTACATTGCAGCGATGTTGGACACCAAATAATGTGCCATCTCAAAAACTGTCAATACCTTTTTTTTAAACTGTAGGCATTTTACGCCTCCATCAGCAAAATTTAGATCATTTAGGGGACGGAAACAGTGAAAAGGGCAGGCTCAGAAAAAAAAGATTGACAATAATAGTATAATATAATGATAGAAAAACTTTAATGGAGAACAGTTATTATCATGCGACACGCGATACAACAAGCAAGAGAAAAATGCTTGCTTCTTTTTTTTTTCTTTTTGGTAAGTGTTTTACGGCGCTCTCTACTGTTTTTGGTCATATAGGCGCGCGGGACACACCAAAAATTTTCAGTTGGTATAAAATGTTGAACCACCAAGGGATCTTTAACGTGCGCAATTTGCACACGAGACCTCGGTGATTTTTCGCCCTTGTCCGAGAAGGCTAGGTGTAGATCTTACCTACCATAAGATCAGGGGTGTGGCTGAAAAACAGCAGTAAGAAGGAGCCAATAAATAGTAGCAGTAGAAAGGCTGCAGAAATAGTCAGGATACCAGAGGAGGAGGAAAAGGAGGTGAGGGGGGGGGGGCAGACAGTGGAGACGAAAGCAAACGATGGCCCATTGTCAGAGAGCAGGAAAGGATGAGGAAAGGATAACATTTTAGAGAATAAACATTTCTGTCGCTATTCGGATTCGAATCCGCGACTTAATGTCCCTCTTTCTCTCTCCGTCTCTCT